TACATGCAAAAACTCTCAATAAAATTCTTGGCAAACAGGGTTCAAGAACACATTAAAAACATTATCCACCATGGTAAAATTGATTTTATCTCAGAGATGCAGGAATGGTTCAACATACATAAATCAATAAATATAATTCACCACATAAAAGAATTCAAAGACAAAAAAACGCATGATCATCAGATGAAATGGAGGAAAGGCCTTTGACAAAATCCAACACCCCTTCTTGATAAAAGTCCCTGGAGAGACTAGAAATTACAAGACAAATACCTCAACATAATAAAAGCAGTCTACAGCAAGCCCACAGCCAACATCATTCTAAATGGGGAGAAACCCAAAGTATATCCACTAAAATCAGGAACAAAATTGTTCACTCTCTCCATACCTACTCAATACAGTACTTGAAGTCTTAGCTAGAATAATAAGACAACTGAAGGAGATCAAGGGGATACAAATAAGGAAGGAAGAAGTCAACGTATCTTTATTTGCAGATGGTGTGATTTTATTTTATGTATAGAAGACCCTAAAAACAACCAGGAATCTTCTAGAATTCTAAACACTTTCAGCTAGGTAGCAGAATCCAAAATTAACACACAAAAAACAGTAGCCTTCCCATATACAAATGACAAACAGAAAGAAAGCAGGGAATAGAACCTTTCATAGCAGCCTCTAGAAGGAAGGAAGGAAGGAAGGAAAAAAACTACCTTGAAATAACTCTAACCAAGTAAAAGACTTGTATAATAAAACTTTAAGACACTGAAGAAAGAAATTGAAGAAGACCTCAGAAGATGGAAAGACCACACGTGCTCATCAACTTGTAGGAATAATATTGTGAAAATGATCATCCTACCAAAAGCATCTATAGATTCAATGTAGTCCTCATCAAAATTCCAACACAGTTCTTCACAGAAATTGCAAAACAATCTTCAGCTTCATAGGGAACACACACACACACACACACACACACACACACACACACACACACACACACACATAATCCAGGATAGCAAAAACAAACTAACAAAAATATGAATAATAAAGGAACTGCTGAGGTATCACCATCCCAGGTTTCAAGTTGTACTACAGTATTACAGTGCTAAAAACAATATGGTATTAGCATAAAAACAGACATGTGGGGGCTGGAGTGATGGCTCAGGGGTTAAGAGCACTGACTGCTCTTCCAGAGGACCCAGGTTCAATTCCCAGCACCCACGTGTCAGCTCACAACTGTCTGTAAATCCAAGATCTGACACCCTCACACAGAGATACATACAGGCAAAACATGAATGCTCATAAAATAAAAATAAAAAATAATTTTAAAAAACCCAAAAATGTTGATCAATGGGATAGAATTGAAAATTTAGACACAATTCCACACACCTACAGACATAATTTTTGACAAAGAAGCAAAAAATACACACTGGAGAAAAGACAGCATCTTCAGCAAATGGTGCTGGTCAAGCTGTGTAGCTGCATGTACAAGAATAAAAACAGATCCATACCTATCACCCTGCACATAACTACAAATGATTCTAGGACCTCAACGTCAGACCAGATACTCTGAATCTGATAGAGAGAATGTAGAGAATGGTCTTGAACTCATGGGAATAGGAAAGGACTTTCTGAAAAGGACACTGATAGCATAGACATTAAGACCAACAATGAATAAATTGGGCCTCATGAAGCTGAAAAGCTTCTGTATAGCAAAAAATGCCATCATTGAAGCAAAGTGTCAGCCCGCAGAATGGGAGAGAAAGTATTTACCAACTATTCATCTGATAGAGGGTTAATATTTACAATATATAAAAAACTAAAAAAAAAATAAACATCAAGATAACAACCCAATTTAAAAATGGTATGTACAACTAAGCAGAAAGTTCTCAAAAGATGAAATACAAATGACTGAGAAACATTTTTGTTGTTATTGTTTGTTTGTTTTGTTTTTCAAGACAGGGTTTCTCTGTGTAGCCCTGGCTGTTCTGGAACTCTCTCTGTAGACCAGGATGGCCTCAAATTCAGAGATTCACCTGCCTCTGCCTCTTGAGTGCTGGGATTAAAGACATGCACAACTACCCAGTGAGAAACTTTTTTTTTTTAATGGTGAACATCTTTAGCTTCCAGGGAAATGCAAATTAGATCCTCTTTGAGATTTCGTCTTGGCTGGTCAGAATGGCCAAGATCAGTTTAAAAAAAAAAAAAAAAAAAAAAGATAGTACATGCTGGCAAGGATTTTGAGAAAAAGGAACATTTACTTGATGAGACTGCAAACTTGTACAGCCACTATGGAAATCAGTATGATGGTTTCTCAGGAAGCTGGGAATTAATCTACTGTATGATCCAGCTATACCACTCTTGGGCATATATCCAGAGGACCCTATGTCTTTCTACAGTTACTTGCTCATCCATGTTCATTGTTTCTCTACTCATAATTGCCAGAGGGCTGGAGAGATGGCTCAGCTGTTAAAGGCTAGGCTCACAACCAAAAATATAAATTGCCAGAAATTGGAAACAGCCTACATAACCATTAATTGATGAATGGATAGTGAAAATGTGGTACAGTTACACTATGTAATATTATTCAGCTGCTAAGAAAAATAAAATCTGCAGGTAAATGGAGCTAGAAAAGCAATCCTCCTGAGTGAGGTAACCCATACCTAAAAAGCAAATAGTGCATGTTTTCTCTTCACTTTGGATGTTGACTTTTAAGCTTTCAATATGTGTGCTTCACTCTGAATAACCACGGAGGCATCTAGAAATGGACTTGGGGGAGGGGCCTCTCCCAAGGAAGGGGAACCAGTGTACAGCGTTATAAAGAAGTAAAGAGAAAACTAGTACAGGAGGATTAAATGGAGGGGGATGAGAGGGCAGGGTGAAAGAGGGAATGTGGGGAGGGAGAACTAACATGAAAGGTCTTTTGAAAATTTAGACAAAGCCTATTATTGTAGAAGCTTCCTAAATATATATACATCTATGGAAAGTATTTGAATGAAGTCACCGTATAATGAGGAGACAATGCCCCAACTAGACATCTTATGCCACCAAATAAAACTCCCAGTGAAAGGAGTGGATTACATCTTGTTGAGCCCCTGGCCAAAGGGGTCCCATGGACACCCTCCCAACCCTTGCCCAGACATTACAGGGCATTGTCACAGCTGTTGGTTACTCTCCACAACCTGACAGTAAGGCTTGAAGATGGCACTTGCTTATGTCATCAAACATGGTAAAATCAAGATGATGCCTAAATAGAAGCTTCAACCCTACAGATTAGCATCGATGTTACTGGAAGGTACTCTACATGCTACCAAAGAAGAAAAGTAATCATCAATATCACCCAGCTACATAACCAGGGGGTGATGGCGCACACCTTTAGTCCCAGCACTGGGGAGGCAGAGGCAGGTGGATCTCAGTGAGTTTGAGGCCAGCCTGGTCTACAGAGCAAGTTCCAAGATGGCCAAGGCTACACAGAGAAACCCTGTCCCAAAAAAATAAACAAAAAACAAAACAAAACAAAACCCACCCAACTACAAACCCCCTTCTACTGGTGCAATAGTAGATAAACGTTATAGGAATAACCAACCACTTTTTGATTGACCCACCACTCAGTGGAATCCATACTTTACACTGCTGAAGTAGCCAAGAAGCTCCAGGAGAAAATCTACTACTGTTTTTCTGCTAAAGGAACATAGCAATAAAGTGACTTCTAATGACATGCTTTTCTAGGCAGGCCATGAGCTCCAGGAGAAAATCTACTACTGTTCCTCTGCTAAAGGAACATAGCAATAAAGTGACTTCTAATGACATGTTAGTATGCCCATAGATCAGTACATTGCTCAACCCTCATCCAAGAACTTCCTTTTTTCAGTGGGTGGTGATTAACACGGAGACCCACCACTGGGCAATCAATGTGCAGACGTTGAGAGACTTTGGAGCACTTACTCCTAAGTGGGATGTCTTTGCCGAACACCTCCTCTCAAAGCTCAGGGACCTATACAGAAGAAGAAGTGGGAGACTGTAGGTGCCATGGTGGATGACCCTAAGGAAAGAGTGTCTGCCCAGCACAAGGGGCTGACACACACATGCACTCACAGAGACTGTGACAGCATACATAGGACCTGCACAGGGTCAGCACAGAGACAGGAGGTAGATAAATAGTCCCACCCCTCACCAGGAAGTTATTTGCAGCGGATGCCTTCCGGGAAAGGGAAAACCAGATTTCTCCAGTGCAGTGTCACTGAGTCAGTCTATCAATCACACCCCAGGACAGGCTGCATGCTCAGGAGCAGTTGGCCAACACAAAATGGAGTCCATTTTGTGTGTGTTTGGGGGTTGCTTTTTGTTCCATTTTGGGTTGTGGGTTTTTTTTTTTGTTTTTTTTTTGGTTTTTTGAGACAGGGTTTCTCTGTGTAGCTTTGGAGCCTGTCCTGGAACTCACTCTGTAGCCCAGGCTGGCCTTGAACTCACAGAGATCTGCCTGGCTCTGCCTCTCAGTGCTGGAATTAAAGGCGTGTGCCACCACTGTCTAGCATCATTTTGGTATTTTTTTTATCTTACTGGTTTTTGTTTCAATTTTTTGTTTTTGTTTTTGCTTTTATAAAGATAGAAAGAACATGAAGTTAAGTATGTAAGGAGGCAGAGAGTAATTGGGAGGAGTTGAGGAGGGGAAGGATATGATCAAAATATATTGTAAGAAAAAACAAAATAAATATCAAAGGGGGAAAAAAGGATGAAAGGGGGCTGGGGGAGGCTGGAGAAGCCTCAGTGTTTAAGAGCACTCTTGCAGAGGATCTGAGTTCAGTTCCCAACACCCACATTCCGTGGGTTACAGTCATCTGTAACTAGATCTCCAAGGGGATCCCATAACACACATACACACATGCACACACACACAATTAAAAGTAATAAAAATAAATCTTGAAAATAAAAAGATGAAAAAGCATATTTACTATCTGTCTTAGTTAGGTTTTCTCTTACTGTGATAAAACACCACAACCAAAAGCAACTTGGAGACAAAGGGTTTATTTCAGCTTTCACTTCGACATCACAGTCCATCACTGAGGAAAGTCAGGACAGGAATCTGGAGGCAGGAGCTGAAGCAGAAGCTATGGAGGGGAGCTGCTTACTGGCTTGCTCCTCATGGCTTGCTCAGCCTGCTTTCTTATAGAACCCAGGACCATCAGCCCAGGGGTGACCCCACCCACAATGGGCTGGGCTCTCCCCCATCAATCACGAATTAACAAAATGTACCACAGTCTTGTGTATAGGCCAATCTGGTGGGCACATCTTCTCAACCGATTCCTTCTTCCAAAATGACTCTAGCTTGTATCAAGTTGACATAAAACCTAGCCATTAATAACAGTCTAGCTGTGATTGTTAAGTATCATGTGGCTAATTAATATCAGTTAGGCACATTTCAGAAGAAGAAATACCACCAGGCTATGATAAGGTCCTTTCATAATGATAGCAAGGCAGTTAATCAAGGTGTCCATGACAGACTTAAACATGTATGCTCCCAATAATTAATCTTCAGAACATACACAGAAAAAAAAAATGGTAGAACATCAGTAAGAAATAGACAAATCCACAATTATAGTCAGAGACTTCAGTGTTCCCTCTCAACAGATAAAATAAACAGAGAGAAAATCTGCAAGCATAGCCTAGACTTAAACAATACTATCATCATCCTGACTTTGATTAACACTTTTACCCAGGAGCAATAAAATATACATTCTTTACAAGCACACGCATTTACCAATATTGGCCATATGGTGAGCTGTAAAATTAATTAAAAAATTCCAACAGTACAGAGCCATACTGCATTCTCAGACAATAGTGAAATTAAATTAAAAACCATAGGGCCAGCAGCTTGCTGTACAAGCCTGGTAATGAGTTCAATTCCTGGAGCCCATGTAGGAATTGAAGGAAAAAACTAAGTCCATATACTTGTCTTCTGACCCCGACATGTGCGTTGTGGAACATGTACCCACCCACCCCTACACACCACACTAATAATTATCAATGTTTTCAGTTAGCAACTATAAAGGGGAGGACCTGAAATCCTGCACATTGCTGGTAAGACTGTGAAATTATATGAAGACCTTGCAAATCAGTGTGACACTTTCTTTCTTTCTTTCTTTCTTTCTTTCTTTCTTTCTTTCTTTCTTTCTTTCTTTCTTTCTTTCTTTCTTTCTTTCTTTCTTTCTTTTTCTTCCTTCCTTCCTTCCTTCCTTCCTTCCTTCCTTTCTTTCTTTCTTTCTTTCTTTCTTTCTTTCTTTCTTTCTTTTCCTTTGGTTTTTCGAGACAGGGTTTCTCCATGTAGCTTTGTGCCTTTCCTGGAACTCACTTGGTAGCCCGGGCTGGCCTCGAACTCACAGAGATCTGCCTGGCTCTGCCTCCCAAGTGCTGGGATTAAAGGCGTGTGCTACCACCGCCTGGCGACACTTTCTTAAAGTGTTAGAGACACCTGCCATGTGACCTAGCCGTTCTACTCTAGGTGGTTGGGATATGAACTGTGGCCCCTAAAGGCTGATATACTGATGGCTTGCTTCACAGCTGGTGATGCTCCACAGAGGTGACTGGATTATTAGTGGGCTAACTCATCAATGGGTTTACAGTCGGATGGGTTATTGGAGGAAGAAGCTCACCCAGAGTCTATCTTTTCCTCCCCTAACCTCTTCTCTCTTTTCCAGCAGCCACAAGGTGAATGGCTTTGCTTGAACATGTTCAGCCTTCGCTCAGGCCCAAGAGACCAAGTTATCATGGTCAGACACCCTTGAAATAACAAACAAATTCTTCCTCTCCTAAGTTGTTTTTCTTAGGTATTTTCTCATAGCAATGAAAGACTAATTAATATACATTCCTAGGTGCTTACTAGAGAAATGAAATGCTCATGCCACAGCTAGTACATGAATTTTCATAGCAGCCTTATCCGTCATAGCCAGAATCTAGAAACAACCAAATATCCATCAACAGATTCATGGATAAACTCTGGTACACCCATGAAATACTATTCAAAACACAATTCTTGATACATACAATAATATAGGTGAGTCTCAAAATAATTATGCTGTTTTTAATATATATATATGTGAGAGAGAGAGAGAGAGAGAGAGGGTATATTTGTATGATCCCATAAGCTGGTCTAAAATCTAGAAAATGGAAACTAATTTATGGGGCATAACACAGACCAATGGTTTCTGAGAGGTAGCAGTGGAAGGGAGTCAGTAGGGAACACCGCAAGCTTGGGGTGACAGACACATTTACTGCCGTGGTTTTCATGTCTGTGTAAATATGACAAAACTATGGCGCACACTTTAAACTTGTCACAGTGTGTTTGCTTTATTATGTTGCAATTTTACGGATGCTTATTACATAGCCAAGGCTGGCCTGCAGGCATGTGTCACCACACCCAGCTCATAACAGCTTGCTTTTTAAATAAATGACTGTTTCCAAACAACAACAAGAAATCTGCAGTTGGGAAGAAAATACTGGAGGTTTCTGTTGGTGGAGATGACAGTCGTGGTGGTGGCAATCGGCAACGGTCTCCCAGGACAAGTGTGCTTTCCCTCGCCACCCAGAGAGACCTCGGTGCAGCAGGGGCCAGTTGCCAGATTCTGGACTCTCAGAAAGGCTGTGCTAGACACAGTGGCACGGGCTTGTCACTCCAGCACTCAGAAGGTGGAAGCAGGATGATTCAATGGTCAAGCCCAGGGTAGGCTGCATCACAAGACTCTGGCTAAATGAGTAAGTGAATCAATGGAGAGCTGGGGTAGAGTGCAGTGAAAAAGCACTTGCCTAGTGTGCTTCAGTGCATAGATAGATAGATAGATAGATAGATAGATAGATAGATAGATAGATAGATAGACAGACAGACAGGTACATACATACATACATACATACATACAGTACACAGATATAGTAGACAGATCGATCCATACATACATACATATATGATGATGATGATGAAGATAGATTAGATAGATAGATAGATAGATAGATAGATAGATAGATAGATAGATAGATAGATGTGGGGCATTTACCCACCACCCCCACAGTTCCCCAGGGTTTTCTTGAGTGCGAGCAGCAGGAAATATTAGATAGAAGGATTTATTGCGGAGAATCTTGCGGAGATGAACAGATAGAAAATAAAGGATAGCCTTGAGAGGGTCTGGAACCTATTCCAACGGCCCCCGACTGTCTCTGCCCCAGGGTTTTTATAGAGACGCCAAGGGGTGGAACAAAAGACCTCCTCCCCCAGCACAGCCAAGTGCAGACCATCCCAGACACCTGCACTCAGGCCCGTGGTCCTAATCATCCTCTATGTGGACCTGCTGGGTAAAGCCACGAGGAACCCGAGAACGGGCTCCCACAGATAGATAGATAGATAGACAGGTACATACATACATACATACAGTACACAGATATAGTAGACAGATCGATCCATACATACATACATATATGATGATGATGATGAAGATAGATAGACAGATAGATAGATAGATAGATAGTAGATAGATAGATAAATGATAGACAGACAGATGTGTTTGCAGCCTACCTCTTGCCAAACCTCACCACACAGAGAGCCTGGATGGACTCACTAACACTACAGTAAGCTGGCCTGTACCCCCCATATGGCAGGCTCTTTTCAAACCTCATTCCCTCCTCACCTCAGCAGGACAAGGAGGATTTTTGTACTTAGTTCCCAAATGGACCACACTGACAGGAAGTGATGGATCTGGACCGTGGATGGATGGGTTTGTAGGTCTCCAAGTTGGCACCGGAGCAAGGCCCCACATGCTTCCTTCTCTCCTGGCCGATGCTCTCTTCACCACCAAGCTGAATGAAGCATACTACAGGCTTGAATGCCTGCCTCCCTCAGAATGCATGCACTGAAAACCCAACAGGTAAGAGAGATGATTTGAAGAGGGATTAGGTCAGCAGGGCTCTGCCCTCATGATGGAAGTCGTCCTGATTGCCACAGTGGGGCCGCTCTCGTGCTCTCTAGGCGTGTGATACATACAATGACAGAGCAAGGAAGCCCTCACCAGATGGACTCCTTCTGTCAGACTTCCCAGCCTCCAGAACCACGAGCTAAGTAAACTTCTGTTGTTTATAAATTACCAGGATGTGGTGTTCTGTTACAGTAGCACAGAGACACAGCCCTCACTTCTGGAAATCTCCGTCCCTGCCCATGGAATCTCCCTGCTGGTAGTCGTGAGAATTCCGTGAAGGGTCAGGACCACTTGCGTAGCAGCAAGATCAACTTTGCCCACATCTCCTAAAGCCGTTGCAGAATCCGGCTCAGCTATTGCATCACATGCCTCCAAAAGGTGGAGAAATTGAGACCATCTGCTGCCACCTGGATTTGCCTGGAAACTGCCTGGGACACCTGGCTCCAGTCCTCACCCATCATCCTAGGAGGAATGTCGCTGCACGGGGATATCTAAAGGTATGTGGGCTGGCTTCAGGCCAGCTGTGGGCACAAAGTAAGAAGGGCAGGGGAGACCCTGAGCTCTGCTTTCCTACAGCAAAGAGGTACAGGGAGAACTTGACTGCCTGAGCATGTGATGGGGTTATCAGTCTGCTGGGCCCAAAGCTGGCCCTCCCTTCCTCCTCTGCTGGCCCGTACTCCACTCTGCTTTGTCTGGCTCCAGAAAGCCCAAATCCTTGTCCTGAGTGGGTAAGGCACAGTGAAAGTTCGTAACTCCAAGCCATGTCTTTAAAACAAGCAGGAGAGGAGGGCGGATGGGGGGGGGGGGGGGGGAGGGGGAGGTTAGTACCTCTAGATGAAGCTCTGAGCGCCAGGATCCAGGATAGCAAGTTCTGTTTAACAGAGAGGGGGAAGTTGGGTCCCAGGCCCAAAGAAGAAGAGGACCTGGCCAGGTCCCCCGGCAAGGGCAGAGCAGAGCCGGAGGCCCTGCTCTCTTCTCCCTGCCCCCTGAGAAGCAGCTGTCTGAAGCAGTGGGGCATGAGGTGAAATCCCTTTCCTCACCTGACCTCTCTCCCTGGCCTAGGAGCTGATGTAATCCAGCCCTCTCCCTTCTTGGCCACTGGTCTGGGGATGTGCTGGAATTGATGGTTTTTTGGAGGGGTGCTAAATGTACTGTCCATAGTCCACTTGGAGACAGACAGGGAGTTGGGGGGGGGGGTCAGAACTGGTGGGCTCTGGGCACACGGGTCCAGGGCGAATCCCCCAACCCCAGCCTTTACCTTGTCCCTGAGGCTGCCCTCTGTTGCTGGGTCTCTCTGCTGTCACCAGGCCTTAAGTCTTAGCTCTACACAGAGGACTTAGGCCACTGGCTTCGCCACCCTGGGCTTCTCTGAGTCCCTTCTCCACATGCTCTGCCTATCTCCTGGTTGAGCTAAAAACTCTAGTCTCCTAAATGGGGCAAGGAGGGTGACCAGACATGAGGCTTCTAGTTAGGAATCCACCTTGAGGGATTTGGGGTAGGAAGACAGTAACTCCCTATAGAGATACCCTTAAGTCTGTAACTCCGGTTGCTAGCTAGGCCCACCCACACCCCTTACATGCCGTGTGTGACCCCAGAACTAGAGAAAACACTGTAGCTCTTCATCTCTAGCCAGCCAGATCTCCTCACCCTCTACAGGAAGCCTAGGGCCTGGAGCTGGGGAGAGTGGGCGGTGCTGTGCCCTGTGGAAGACAAACACAGTGTCAACCCCCTCAGAACCACTGTGGCCTTGCCTTTGGTGTGTGAAGCCTTGTCCCCAGCCCAGTGTACACTGAAGGGCCCTGATGGCACTTGCTGTGGGGCTCCATGCAGAGCTCCGCCTGCCTGTGACTCCCGACCTGCCCCCCCTAAAGTCCCCAAATATATAGAACTCAAATGCTGCCCAGATGTCGTGTCTCCTCTGACTCCTAAGCCCACACCATTGAACCCATGACCCCTGCACCTTGGTTTCCACGGAGTCCTGCCAGTGAGCGCCAAGGGGCCACCAGTATGGCTGTGAGGTCCACCCGCTCTGGGCAGGTGGGGTTTTCCTACCTCTGCAGCAAGCCTGGAGCTCAGTGAGTCTGAAGTCGGTGGTATATAAAGCCTGAGGCGAGGGATACCATCCTTTCCTGGAAGGTCTGGGCTATGGGTGCTGGGGCCCCTCTTTGCTGGGTGAGGTGGAGCCCTGAGCCTGGGCTGGCTGGCCTGTCTTCCGTGAACCCCTTCTTCCACCGCTTCACCCCAAGTCGAGCATTTCCACTGTCTCTCTGTGGGACATGGAGGGCCCCCAATACCTCGTTCTTAAAAGACCTCACTCAGTAGCAGTGAACCAGACCAGTCGTTAGTCACCTAGCACAGCAGCCCTGCGGCTCTGGTCCTGGCTCAGGAGCCGCAGAGCCCCAGGTGGAGACGGCCCCAGTGGTCTCAGCCATGCCTCCCCCAGGCTCAAGGTCCAGCCCCTCGTAGATGGTAGGGAGCGAGGTGTGCTGACTCAGGCGCCGTCGCAGGCCAACCAGCAGCGGCTGGGGCAGTGAGGACACGTCCACGTTGTTTCCCAGATCTATCCAGGCCAACACAGGGAATTTGGTGGTGTCCTTGATAGCCTCGGTGAGTTCCCGGGCAGCCGCTCGCGTCAGCCGATTGCCATTGAGCAGCAGCTGGGTGAGGCGGGGCAGAGCCCAAAGGCTGGGCAGCAAGCGGTGCAGTAGCTCATCACTCAGCTCCGTGAAGCTCAGGTCTAAAACCACCAGCTCCACACCATGGCTGCCCAGGTAGCGTGTTATGTGCTGCACATCTCGGGCGGATAGCGGGATGCCGGAAAGGTCCACGGTCTCCCCTACCAGCGGGGTCTTCTGGAGGCTGCTCTTGAGGCTATGGAAGGATGCGGGTGGGTGCACTGAACCAGGGCCCAGGCCCAGGCAGGACCCCACCCACCACAGACAGTTACCCACCAAGGGCAACCTAGGTCCTCTGGCCTGGCAAAGCCTGGTTTAAAAATGCCATTTCTGGGACTGGAGAGATGGCTCAGCAGTCAAGAGTACTTGCTGCTCTTTCAGAGGACCCAAGTTCGGTCCTTAGCACCCACATAATGACTAACAACTGTCTGTGACTGCGGTTCCAACACCCTCTGGCCTTTTCAGGCACCAAGTACAGGCACAGTGCGCATACATGCATGCAGGGAAAACACTCATAACACTTAAAAAATAAAAATAAGTAAACTATTTTTTAAAGCCATTTTTTATAAAGTTGATGGCCAGAGGCAATGCTAGGAATCTCTCTGAGCTCAGTTTCCCTTCTGGTGAAACGGGAACAGGGTTGTGGTGAGGACTACATACATGCATTAAGGCTCTATGTGTGGACTATTATTATTGTGCTTCTTGCATCTGTTAATATTATTTTCACGACAGCCCAAGGAGTGTATAGGTGATGGCCCATTCTACAAAGGAACTAAGAGAGGTGACAAGGTCCCTTGGCTGTCCATCACTAAGTGGGAACCAGGGCTCTAAATCCCAACGCGCTGACCCCTGTGCCCCTCTAGAAGCAGCGTCCTTTAAGATAATGAAAACCTTTGCCATGAGCGGCTATGGGATCATTCTGGTCCTCTCAGCGTTTGGGGCCTAGAGACGGGACGGGCCCAGGATAGTAAAGGGGGAAGGAAGCGGATAGTGTGGGCTAAGAGCTAGCTAGGGCAGGCCTCCCTGTGTTAAGCTGAAAGAGGCACTTGGAGCCTGAGGGAGGAGGGTCAGTCCTCCAGGGCCCTTGGCACACTTTCCCTCTCTCTCTCCTGTTCTTTATCCACAGCCCTGTGGGAAGATAGGACTGCTTTGGGTGGTAGGTCACTGAGAGCAGTGAGGACATGGCCAGGACCCCATCTACTGTGGCAGGAAGCAGTCTCATGGGTTCTGAGTTCGTCTTGGGCCACGAGGTGTAAGAATAAAATAAGGTGGGGGATACACAGAGCTCAGGTCAACCCCCAGCTGTGGTGCTAGGCCCTTGGTTCCGGGCTGAGACTGTGTCATGAGGTCCCCCAAACAGGAGACCCCACGCAGAGTAAGCTATCAAGAGGCTGTGGAAGTCTCCAGCATCAGGACGCCTGGAGCTGATGAGTTCCCAAAGGGCTGCAGGGTAATCAGGGAGGGAATGGCCTTAGGCAAGCTACTCTCCCTCTCCTAACTCAGTGTTCTTCCCTGTGAAATGGGAGGCTTATAGAATCTGTCCTGATGAAGATTTCACCTGATGTACCTGGGACCCAAGGAGGCACAGGTCCTGGGAAGGGACAGGGATGGAGGGACCAGGGAATGGCAGGAGGTGTCACTGTCCTGGAAGAAACGGGAAGCAACTCATAGGGAGCACTCAGCTTGGCGTAGGGGCATCTGTTGCTGTGGACCAGGGTAGTGGCCACGGCTGGAGCCTTAATGTGGACGAAGGCAAGGGAGCAACAGAGTGAGATTTTTGCCCACTCAGCTCTCAGAGAAGGGACCCTGAAAGACAGTGTGCAAGGGCTGTGTTGCTGGGCTCTCCTTACCTGTTTTGGGTTTTCCTGTGGGGCTTTCGCTTGGAGTGAGGGGTAAGGTGGTAGATGAGCTGCCGACAGATCTTATCGGATGACTTCCAGGGCTCGTGGTCCTACAGGGGCGGGGAGGGGAACGTTATGGTGAGGATGAGCCTGAGCCCCTTCCATTCTGCCCTGGCTGTATCCTGGCACAGAGCCAGGAGAGGCTGCCTGCTGGGAGCTGGACAGGCTAGTCTGAGGCCCGCAGTGCCCGGTGGGAGGAAGCCCAGACAATGGGCCCTTGTTCTCTGTCCTCAGGCCTAAGGCCAGTAGCTCAAGCTATCAGCCGGCAGCTTGCCACCCTCAACACCCCCAGGGGACTTGCCACAAGGAGGAGGCCAGACCAGGCCCCTTGAGGGAGCCCTATTCCAGAGACGCCAGTCCCAGAGAATAGGAGCGAGTCAGGTCAGCATATTCTTCCTCTCATTCTCCAAGCTGCGCTGCGCTGCGCCCGTGGGGCCTGGGTCTGGGCTGACAGGGCCGGGGATTGATGTTTTACTACACCACACGGTTCTCTATTGGTCCTAATTGCATCCCCAAAGAGGTCCAGCTTGGGGCACACGAGGTATGCTTTCCACACAGCTGGCACTGAGCAGGCTCCATTACCCAGAACCTTCTTTTATACTATAAGCAGCCCCCAGAGCTTGCAACACACACACACACACACACACACACACACACACACACACACACACACACACACACACACAGACACACACACACACAGTGACAGTCGATTAGGCGGCTACTGGGATGGCTGTGGACTAGCCAGCTAAGTACCGATGTGGGATTCAGAGCTGACAGGGCCTACAGTGGACCCCCTTATTTCATGTGGGGGGGTGCCCATTGTGTCCAAGATTCTCGGCTGACCACAGACCTACAGGCCAGTGCTGTGTCCATATTCACAATGGGACATCTGCAGGTGTTGTCAGAACAGGGTCCGAGGAGGTAGAAGCTGCAGGTAGCAGGTTCCAAGTTAGCATGACATAGGATTCGTTTGTGACCCAAGTAGCAGTGGAAGGGACTGTGACCCCCTTCCCCAAAGGTGTCCAAGCAGGATAGAGACCAGGGGCCCCAGCCTAGGGCGTCTCTCTTCTGACCCAGGAACAAGAACACGTGGTTCTGACAGAGGACGTATCAAGACAGGCTGTGTTCTGTGTCCCCATAGGGTGTTTTTGGTTTTGGTTTTGGTTTTCTTTGGGAGACAGGGTTTCTCTGTGCAGCTTTTGGAGCCTGTCCTGGAACTCGCTCTGTAGACCAGGCTGGCCTCGAACTCATAGAGATCCACCTGCCTCTGCCTCCTGAGTGTTGGGATCAAAGGCGTGTGCCACCACCGCCCGGCCTCTATAGGTCTTCTGCTCAGGTGGGGTGCATACCACCAGTGGGGAAACAGGTCTACCTAAGAGCATGGTTTTAGAGCTCAGCAAAACAGTTTACACCTGCTCCTGAAGCTGTTCTGAAGAGGGATAGTGACTAGCCTAAGGCCTAAGCAAGCATGAGAACCCAAGTTCCCCGGGCCTATGCCCTCTGACCTTACCTTCTTGGGACACTGCAGGTCCCGGGCCAGGTTCACCAGCAAGTCATGGGAGATGGGGTCCACCAGGTTAAGCAAAGCCACATTCCTGTAGAGGATGTCAGTGAGGAGGTTCCCTTCAAGGCCCAGGTCCTGTGGTTGGTGAAGTGATAGTTGAGTAAGGCAGAGGTCAGGGTTCTCCTTCTCCCGGCCAGACAGATACACCCCCTGATGGTTCACATATTTCTAATGATTCCCCCCCACACTTGGTTTGCTGGAATCTCTCAACATATGGTGGCAGCCACGTGTCTAGAGAGAGAGGGCATAGTAAGGCCTCTCTGTGTGTGTGTGTGTGTGTGTGTGTGTGTGTGTGTGTGTGTGTGTGTGTGTGATAATCAGGTTACTCACACTAGTTGTTGGCTGTGTAATGTCTTGCTTGATGCTCTAATCACCCTGAACGCTAATGTCCCTAGCACCCCCTTTGGGTCCTTTGTTTCCTCCCTGTCCCTGAGGTCTCTTGAATTGTGCTACCCTCTTCTCCTCTGGGAGTGAGCCCCTTCCCCAGACCGTGTTCCCAAAAACAGCTCAAACTCAGCCTGCTCATTTGCCGGCCTTATGTCCCTTTCCAGAGTGCAGTAGGGGATCCCACCCTGTCCACCTCTGTAGGGATCACCTAGGGTCCTTTCCCTCTGTCCTCAGCTCAGCAGGTGGGTCTCCCTTCTCCCACTGCTGCTGCCAAGGTTCAGACCTCAGACCTAGTCACCTTTGCTCAGGGCTCCCAGCCTTCTGCGTTCCTCCCTGGGTTCCCAGGGCCACTCTATGAAACACACATGACCTTTACCCTTCATTCCACTGGTGGAGACGAAACACCTACAAGTTGTGCCATCAGAGACTCACAGAATGTGCAGAGCCATGATTCCCCGGACTTAGCCATCACAGCCTTCCCAGCCTACCAGCTTTCTTCTCTTCACCCAGACCTCGGGGTCAGGGCCCTGACCCTTCACCCCTTGGCCTTCTCCAGTCCATACCTATAGACCTGATGTAAGGCTGAGCATCTTGATTTGTTTTTACTTTTCAAGATAGGGCCTCGGCCAGGCGGCGGTGGTACACGCCTTTAATCCCAGCACTTGGGAGGCAGAGCCAGGTGGATCTCTGTGAGTTCGAGGCCAACCTGGTCTACAGCGCAAGATCCAGGACAGGCACCAAAACTACATGGAGAAACCCTGTCTCGAAAAACCAAAAATTAATTAATTAATTATAAACGAATAAAGAAAGAAAGAAAGAAAGAAAGAAAGAAAGAAAGAAAGAAAGAAAGAAAGAAAGAAAGATAGGGCCTCACTGTATAGCCCTGAGTGGCCTGGAACTCGCTTTATACACCAGGCTGACTTGGAACTCAGGGATCTATCTGCCTCAGCCTCCTGTATCCCGAGATTAAAGGCATGTGCACAAAGGGTGTTTTAGAGGATATGCAGGCAGCCTCCTAGTGCCCAGCCTCCATGTGCCATCCTCTAACCCCTCAGCCAGAGGACATGTATGCCCTGTGCTGTCCTGAGCACACAGGAAGTCAGGCCAGGCAGCAGGCACGCATTTACAGGACTGCGGTTACAGAGTTCTGCAGGGTATGGGGCAGGATGGGGGCCTGAATATGCCTCCAATCTCAACTTCTAGGATACAAGGAGGGGACTTAGCCGCTCTCTGAGGTTGATCCCCTCCCAGATGCTTCCAGGAAAAATGCAAGTCAATGCCTTGGGCTCCACCATCACCGATAGTGATCTGTATTTCTAGGCAATATGCCTGGCTGGGTGCTGCTTGGCAGTTCTCTCCTGTTTGTATTTTCAGTATGGTTCAAGCTACAGATGCCAGCAAGGGGGGAGGATCCAGGAGGAAGCAGGCTGGTGAGTCTGGGCAGACCCAGACAGAGCCCCAGACAGCAGCCTACCTTCCACTGGCCTGGTCAGTGCCTCTTAAAGTGACAGCTCCACTTTTCCAGATTGCTGAGTCTACAGAGAGGGCAGTGGTGGAGGAAGAGCAGGACTGGAAGTATCCAGCCCTGGATCACCACCTCTCTGAGGCGCTCTCTCTCTCTCTCTCTCTCTCTCTCTCTCTCTCTCTCCCTCCTTTCTCTTTCTCTCTCTCTCTTTCTATCTCTCTCTCTCTTTGTCTCCCCCCCCCCCATTATAAGTTGGTCCTGAACTTACTATGTAGCTGAAGATAACCTTGGACCCCTGATTGTCTGCCTCCATCTCCCAAGGGCTGGGAATATAGGTGTGGACCACCATGCCCAGCTTATCCTGTTTTCTTTCTTTCTTTTTCTTTTTATAAAATAGTGCTAAGATACATAGAGCTCAGGACTCTCAAATGCTCTAACACTGAGCTACCTCCCTCGACCTCTTCTCTCAGTGTTTTGTCCGTGCCCTGGCTCATCACTTCTCCAGCTCTAAGCACCGTCTACCTTCATGGCGGGGGCAGCAGCTACTGCAGGGCGTAAGGAGGCTGAATGGGGAGTGATTTGCCCCCGGGGTAGTGCTGGAACAGGCATCCCAGGGCAACTCAGAGCTCAGGGTCTCCAGCTAGGGTACCAAATGTGTCTCCCAAGAGCCAGATGTGGCACTGCCGTGTGCAAAGGTGGTTGTGTATTCTCAGTGGGTTCAAGCTGCCTGTTAGAATGGGTGGTGCCCGCGCTGTGGCTTTGTCTGTCCTGTCATGATGTCTGTCTCCTGGCGCACCCGCCGCCGACCATCTGGGCTGTGCCTCCCAGGACCCTTTCTCCCGGATCTGGTGCTTCCTTTCTTCCTGCAGGATGGGGAGCTGTGCTCTTCCCATTGTCCTTCAGCATGAGATGCCCCTACCCTCACCCACTCCAACTCTTGAGAAGGTCCAAATACGGGCTCTTAGCTCCTGACTGGTGGTCCCTCAACACACACACACACAGCACACCAGACTTCAAATGCCAGTGCCCCAACATGCCAGCCCCATCTTTGGCAAGCAATCCCCCAGCCCCACCTGGCCCTCACTTTAATCCGCGCCCTCCCTCCACGCAAGAACCTCAACGCCTGCAAAACCCCGAGGTGCACGCTAGGAACCCACCCGCCCAGAAGCCCGCAGCCCCGGCTCCTCCCTGACCCCCGCAATCCCGGGCCGCCCCGCTCCTTCTCTCGCCTGGCGCAGGAGGCGCAGCAGCTGCCGGGCGCGCTCCGGCCGCCGCTCGCGGAGAGTGGACTGGATCTCTCGCAGCCAGCGCACCCGGCGCTCGTAGGGCGCGGGCCCGGCCCCTGTCGCCGCAGGGGCATCTGAGCCGGCCGCTGCCCTTGCCCGCCGCCCCAGCCGCGCCCCCATGGCTGCCGCGGGCGGGCGCCGAGACGGTGGAAGGGAGGCGGGCTATCTGCGGCCCGCGCCCCGCCCGGGATGCGCGGGGTGGGCAGCGCCGGGTCTACGGCTGCGCGCCCAGGCACTGGCCGCCAGCGTGGAGCCCAGGATCACTCCTCTTTGGCAGAGGTTTCCCTGTCGAGGGCCCCGCCCGCCCGCGAAGGACCTGGCGTTAGAGCTCTTCCCCGAGGCGGCCAGGGGAGACGCTGAGGACAAGGTGGCATTTGGCACCTCTCCATCATGTGGCCCCAGCGCTGACTGTCTTTGGGGGGGGATAGTCGTCCGACTGTACAAAAAAGTGCTTCAGGCGGGTGAGGGTGCTTTAGGCAGTGACAGCACCCGCTTTCAGAGATCGCCCCTGCGAGCAAGTGTGTCTGACTGGTCCACTCTGTGGATGTTACTGCTAGCCTTGGCAAATCCCGAATGACACTTTCTGCTTTGAGGGGGACAGACAGACCTGGACAGGTTGAGCATGGTTGGCCTCCTCTGACCCCCATGTCTGAGAGATGACTAGACTAAGCCCACCTCTGGGCAGCCTGGCACCAGCCCTGCATATGTTCCTGGTCCTACTTTTCCTGCCTAACAAAAGGGGATGGTAGTGCGTGAGGGGGGGGGGGGGGTCGCTGGCTCCTCTGAAGACCACATTTGAGCTCAGGACCATCTAGCTCTAGACGGGTTTCCTCAGCAGATTCTGTTGGAAGCCTGCTGCAAGCCCTACCTGGTCCCAGTTCTAAGCTTCTCACAATACGTAGGAGGGGGCATTTATGGCCCTGCACTCTAGCCTCCCACCTCCACCCTTAGTTAAGGAACGTGTCCAGCCTGAGTCTGCTGGGATGCCTGGCTGGGCAAGTGTGCAAGCCTAGTTGAAACATGCGGGGGAAAGACCTATTCCAGGGCATGTAGTGAGGGATGCCTGCCAGGATCCTTCATTTGGGTCAAGCATTGCTTGACCAGAAACTGGAGGTGGCAGTGGGAGACTGGATGCCAGGCTTTGTGGTCCCCTGGGGCTGAGACCCTAAAGACTAGCCAGAAGTCAGCAGAGTGGGTAGTTCTGATCACTCACTGATACCCCCTAACCAGTTTTAGGCTGATTCCTAGGCTTCCTTTTCCCCAGCAGCCTCCCGCCCCCTCCTCTGCAGCAGTATTGTCCTAGGGCCACCTTGGCACGACAGGTTTCCTCCCTGGCAAACCTGCATGACTACCCAGCCTGCCCTCCCCTAGGGCCAAGGCTCTTGCTGAATTGACAGTGTGTGAAAGCCAGAGCTTGGAGCAGCAGTCCAAGTGTCCCAGGGACGTCTCAGACCCCTTGCCCAGAGCTGGAGGCCAGGTAAGCGCTCATCCTCTCTCTTCCTTCCTGCACCCTCTGGGCTGGAGACAGACCTGGATGCCTCCCAGATCCTGACCACGTTGTTTCCGGAGGCTAAGCCAGGGCTAAGTGTCATACCTTGGAGTATGAGAAGATGAAGGGGGAGGAGAAAGGAGGGTGGGCTGAGCACCACGCTGGAAAGGAACAAGCTAGGCAGTGCCTTAGTCCTGTGGCAGGTAGAGAGCTGCCCCCAGCCCCTTCTCTGTGGCCCTCCCTAGCTGAGGGATTCCTAAAGGACTTTTTCCAAGAAAAGAGGAAGCTTGGTATCTGGCCCCAGATCCCTGGGTGAGCTTCCCTTAGCCTGCTGCCTGGGTGCCTAGGTGAGCTGGCCCTTGGGCGCTGTTTTTGGCTTAACCTAACTTAGACAAGAATCCCCGTAGACAGAGCTGTCCCCTCGGGAGTGGGGACATCATTCCACCTCACCAGTCTCCAGGTATACTGAACTAAAGGCTGCTGGCCCTTCTCCCTGGAGTCGTCCTGGGCATCAGGGTTTGTGGCAAGCTCGTGGTGAGGCAGACTAGTGGATCAATCTCTAGGAATGATGTAGGGCATGGGGGTTTGACCTGGGTCCTTCAGGGCGGCCTGGCCACCCTTACAAAGCCCGCGGGGATATAAAAAAAAAAATGTGAAGCAGTGAGTATGAAAGGGAGGACACTCCGTCAGACTCCAGGCCTTGATGGGACGTATAAGGCTCCAGTGGGAATCGCCTGGAGATAAGTGTTGGCAGCAGTTACATCTTGGGTGTTCTAAGCCCTTAACTACCAGTGTGGTAACCCATTGGGAGTGGACAGGAGTCCGAGGTCTGGGTGAGCCAGCAAGTAGAGTGGAGGGCTACGGAAGGGCATGGACCTGAACCAGCCCCTCCTTTGGGCTCTTTTTCCATCCACCCAATGAGAAAACCCAAACACACACACACACACACAAAGCCCACTCAAGGCTGTTATCTCAGCGAGAAACCATGTGATCCAGAGCCGAGCTTCCCGGTAGCCAGGACAAAGGACACAATCTTTGATGTTTTTGTTTGTTTGTTGAGACAGAGTCTCACATAACCTAGGCTGGTCTCAGTCATGTCAGCTGAGGACGGATTTGAACTCCTGATCTTCCCCTGCCCGCCTCCGAAGCTTGGGGATTACAGATTAGAGCCACCACGTCCAGCCACAGAATGGTCTTGAAACCTTCCCTGGGAGGAAGGAGGCAGCTAGGTCCTCTACAGAGACACTTTCCCTGGTCTTACTCTATCAGGAGTGGGTTCTCCGCCTTCAGCAGGAATCGCCACGGAGGTAAAGGAGGCACCAGACAGGATTCAGATCCCCTGCTCGCTCTTTCCTGAATGCGCAGTCATAGACAAGGGAGGAAGAACTGTTACTTTCCTGTGGTCGCTACAACCAATCACAGCAGCCAGTTCAGCGGCTTAAAAGAGCCAAGTTCTGGTATTGGAAGCCTGGAATCCAAATGTTAGCAAAGCCATGCTCCCTTGAAGACTGTAGGGCCATCTTTTTTTCCCCCCTTCCTCTTTTTCGGAGCTTTCTGGCAATCCTTGGGGCTGTTTGGCTTGTGCTTGGGTCCCTCCGACCTCAGCTTCCATCTTCACAGGCCTGTCCCCCCTGGACGACTGCTCAAATGGCCATCTTGTGAGACCACTAATTACCGCATTTAGGGCCTATCCTAATCCAGTATGATCTCATCTCAGCCAATTATCTTGTGAAGACTCTGTTTCTAAATAAGGCCATGCTCTGAGCTCCCTAGTGTGCATGAGAAAACAACACACCACAGAAACCTCTAGAAACCTCAGTTTCCTTGTCTGCAAAATGACAAGGGCGTCCTAGGCTAAGAGACGTGGGTAAAGGAGCCGGCACCGCACAGCGCTGCACAAGTGTGCTTTTATTATTTATTTTTTTTTTAAGTAATTAATCTTCTGTAGCATCTTCTTCTTCTTTTGGTACTGATAGTTGAGCCCAGCATCGTTTGCATGTTTGGCAATCATTCTACCTTTGAGCCACACCTAGCCCCTCTTTATGGCTTTATAATGAGCCCATCCATCTACCCCCTCAGCTAGCATCCATCCTTTTGGGAACGATCACTGGGTGCTGTGAATGCTGCCCAGGCTACAGCAGCACCAGTAGGAGTGATGGCTGGCCCACAGAGTTGGGTGCAAATCAAGGTTAAGGAAGGGGGTGTGGAGGTAGGGGGTGTGAGGAATGGGCCAAGGTAGTAGCCTGTAAATTGTCCTGGCAGGAGCATTGAGTGCAAAGAGGCAGGCGCCAGCAAGGCAAGAATTTCTCTGCAGGGCAAAGGGGGCCTTTGAAGGGTTTCCCAGTGGGAGAGGAACGTGCTCCAATTTACATGTTGAACAACACTGGAGCTCCATTAGAGAAACAGCCACATTGCAACCTATGACTGGGCGTCACCAGGTGATAGGAGTGGCCCAGAGGGGCTGGTGGGAGGAGGGTGTTAGGTGTGGCTCGGAGGAAGTCACAGATAGCACCGATTGGAAGGGACCAGTGAGGGGCTGGGCTCTGGCTTTTGTGGCTGGTAGAGGTCTGAGGAGGGCAGTTGCTTGCTCAGGTTTGGGCATGTTGACCTCGGGCATCTGACACAGCCAGTGCCTCAGACTCGGGCTCTGTGTGAATAATGTTCAGCATCCAAGAGGTAAGAGAGGCAGAGGAGCTCTTGGGAGCCTGGGTAAGCTAGGCATGGCGTGTATGGGGAGTGTCGGGCAGTTTGGGGTACCAATAAAGTCACAGGGAAGTGGTGGGTGAACAGGAGCGCTTGGCCTGTGGTCCGGGAGATGGTGAGACAGAACCGAGTTGGCTTTCCTGCAGACTATGGCCTGTGATGGGAAGACCAGGACATGGATAGGACAGGGCTTCTCTCCCAACTCCCTGGAGATTCCAGACACCACAGAAAATTACCGGGAATTACAATAAATGCCACCTGAACAGGGAGGGCAGGACAACCAGGAAGGGGGCACTTTGTGCCTTGCCTCTGAATTGTTCATCAGGCAGGACAGAAGTGACTTCCGATCTGAGTGCCAGAGCCAGGCCAACACTGAGGCTTCGGAGAGCTCCTGGACCCCCTGAAGGCTGTCTCATTGACTCTCTAGTTCCCTGTCTTCTCCGGAGAGGAAACTGAGGCCCGAAAGGGAAGGCTTCCCAGGTCCCTATACCAGCTCTCAGTGAGGTCAGGTTTGAAACAGGGGACCACAGGGCCCATGTCTCTGAGATTCTACCCTTGGATTTTGGAGTTGGACTTGACCCACCAGGTGCCAGGCTGCTGAATGCTCCCAGGCGTTAACAAGCTGACATTCTGGAGAATCACACACTTGACTCAGGTTTCACTTACACACAAAGGTGAGTGCTGGATGGTACCAAAAAGCCAGGCCTGGGGAGGGGAAGGGAGCACAGGAGCTCTGTCCCTGCTGTGGTCGGTCAGGGCTAGTCTCCTCATCACCATGGGATGACACTGGACTCTTCCATCCAGCCAGTGTGGTCTGTGTGGTTCTGAGAGGTTATAGCCAGGTAGCCACAGGGCATGGGTATCCCCTGTCTCTCTGATCTGTGGCCTCAGATGATTTGAAGGGTCTGAGACCAGACCCTTCCAAGATGAGCTGACTCTTGTAGCTTGTAGAAGGCACCACAAG